CTGGCTCAGAGGAGGGTCCAACTAGAGTATGACCTTTGGATGTAAAATTTTGACTTCCTTATAGCAAAGGAAATATCTTGGCAAAACTCACATTTGTCATTTGGAAAATCTTTCACACAATGCATAACATTTGTTCCTCACAACATCTTCGAAGTAAATGTTATGTAGTTTATACCCATGATACAGATAAAGGAACCAAGACTTACATCAGTAAACTGACCATCAAGAGCTAGAGCTGAGATTCCCAGCCAAGGCTCTTAGGAGCCTTTATCCCTCTGCCATTTCCCCAGCCCTGGCGCAGTCCATTCCCCCATGGGTCACCTCTGTCCCCGTCACCTAGCATGGGACCTGGCTCCAGTGGGAATATAAAGAATGAATGGGCCTGAGGCTAAAACCTCCTGTGACTGACCTTAGGTGTCCCCCTCTGCCCCTCTTTGTGTTGGTCACTGAGGGCAGAGTTCTGCTGGAGGCTGCCCAAGCATCTTCAGGGGTTGACATTTCCACCCCCTACCAGAGGACTTGCCCATGGCCTCCATTCCACTGTCGTGTGGGGGTTGCGCACGCCCTGATTACTGGGACCCCATATGCAAGGAGGGCAGGTGTGAGTCCTCTGTCCCAGGAGAACCAGGGACAAGGGCTGCAACATCAGGGGTAGGGGTACTTGCTCTGTCTCAGCAATTCCTGTAGGTTCAGAGTTCAATTTTCAGTTCCAAAACGCTGCCACTTCTCTTTGAAGTGTGTGCCCCTAAGTCACGAGCATTGGGAAGACCGGAGCCGGGCCAGGGCTCTGCTGTGGCAGCATCTCTCTCTCTTTCCCTCAGGAATCACCTTCGTCACCATCCATTGCCAAAATGAATGGAGGCCGCGCAGCCGGCTTTATTAAATATGAATGAGTCACAGCCCATAGCCCCCACGCGGTCACTCGCCTACTCCATCTCTGGCAATTACTGCGTTGCACACACTGTGCCAAGGGGCGCAGCAGTCCCTGCCTGCCCTTGCAGACTGACACTGCCCAATAGGGGCAGGGCTCGGGTCTGCAGCTGCTCTGCTCCTGCTAGAAAGCCGCCTCTGGGCTCCCATGTAGCCAAAAGGCTCAGCTCTGAAGACATAGGGACAGGGCACCTCCCACAGAAGGACTATGGATCATTGAGCTCTGAGCTCTGGCCAGACATGGCCTGCGGCTTCGGATCCCAAAGACAAGGTCTCCTGGAATGAGTGGCTTCTGAGCTCTGTCTGCATGTCAGAAGCATGTGGGAGCACCCAGTTTTAAGATCCAGCTTGGATCAAAGTTAAGAGCACGTGTGCGTGTACACACTAGTGCTGAGCACACATTTGATGTGTGTTAATCCTCACAGAAGCCCCCTGGGTTGTAAGCTTCATGTTAGTTGGGTCCTTGGTAGCTCTATCCACTGCTGTGTCCCCAGTGCTGAGGACAGAGTAGCTGCTCAGCCACTATTTGTTGAATGAATGAATGAGGTGGATGTTACTAACCATTTTAGAGCTAACAAAGCTGAAGTCACAGAATGCAACCAAGGTTCTGCAGCCAGTGAGTATCAGAGCCAGGAGTCAGAGCCAGGCTGGAGGCTCGACCACTGCTTATTCGGCCAAGCCTGCTGGCCGCTTGCCCGTCCCCTTTGGGGCAGGGACCCTGCCCCTCGTGCCCCTGCCCAGGCCACAGTCCAACACCATGGCACACCGTTTTAGTTGCATGCATTTGTTTTGACCCGTTTCATCAGGAGAGCCAGTGACTCCCCACAACCCCATGTGGCTTTGTCAAAGTTGCCGAAGACCATCTATGAAGTTGTAAAAACAAACAAGCTCAAACTCTTTTTCTGAACTTAAAAAATTACCTTTATTTTAGGAACCAATAAAATTATGGCAAATATTTACAAATAATTATCTCACATAAAGGTTACATAAAATCAATTCTTCACAAGTAACAGTCACTCATGAAAAGACACACAGATATTGAGTCTACGCCAATCTTATTGCAAGTTTCTCCAACTAATCTAAAATAAAAGTGTTGCATTTAATTTAGAATAAAACCACAAATTCCAGGTTTGTCAAGAAAAAAAAAGTTAAAAAATTAAACCAAAATTCCACCCCTGTTTTCTCTCCAATCCCACCCCCAGCCCCTGCCCTCCTCCCAACAAAAGAAAAATATGTCCAATATCTTTGGCAAATTGGCACTGCTGTAATTACATTCAAATATTATTACACACAAAAGCAACACACGTCACTAAGGAAAAAAAACACCAATATTTCCAGTCATTTTCTACTAGAAAAAAAGAATATAAAACATACACATTTTTTAAGAAGCATTTTGTTTTCAATCTGTTGGAGACAGATCATCTCCCACTTTGAAAGGCAATTCAAATTTTTTTGTTGTTGTTGTGTTTTTTTGTACTTTTTAAAATTTTTTTTATTTTTATTTTTTTACAAGTAAGCTTCTATGCAGGCATCACAAACTTTGGCGGATACAGTAGATATGTGTAGTTCTTTGATGCTGGAAGGTCAGTCTCTAAGACAAAGTTAACTGTCTCAAAGAATGAAAAGCAAAAACCATGTGTCTTCCTGGCAAAGAGTTCTATTTGCAAAGTAATCTGAGTTTCTACAAATACTCAATGTCCAAAGGCCACTAGAGGGTGAAAAACCAGGGCAGCATCTTCCAGCAAGAGTCAGGGCAAAACCCGAATCAGATTTCCACCCTCAGGTTGAGCTTGGAGGCCCAGCAGCTGGGACCACGGAGCGGGGCCCTCAGTGCCCACTACCCCACACTGTGCTGGAGGCTTGGAGTCAGGGGGACGGGCCTGCCTCTTCCTGAGCCCCCAGGACAGGCTGCTGCCAGGTCTGCTCACCTTCTCGGACCAAAGGTGAGGAGGGCAGGCAAGAACTGGCATGTGGAGACTCAGCGTTTTCTCTGAGTTTCAAGTACGTGTGAGGTGTGGGTGTGTGTGCACATGTGTGTGAACACACTCTCATGCGCATGTGTGGAGGGGAAGGCTAGGATTTGGAGGCTTGGGGCTTTGCGGGGCGTTTCAAAGAGACTCAGGACTTATTTATTTTCTTTTCAGCTTTATAGCAATTAATTGGCTATTGATTGGTTGGAATGTTCAACTCTCCATTTCCTCAAATACAATAAAATAGTTTCATTAAAATGTATTCATGCTTGAAAATAAGGGAGCCATTAAATGGTTTCCTTTCTGTTCCACTCCAGGGGAAGTGCACCATTTGTAAATCAAAAATCCATCATCCCAAATCACTTGTTTTTAATGGTGCTTTTAGAGAAGATCAGGGACGTGGCCACAAGCATGGCGATTTAAGGTAGAAGGGTGGCCTGATGGCCATAGTCACAGGATGGGGTGTGACCAGGGTTGGGGTGGGTGAGACTGCAGCTTGGCGTCCTCCAGTCAGGCCTCAGTGTTGAGGGTGGGACTCATAATCCCCAAGGCGCCCCTCCCCATGCTGTTCCCCATGCTGTTCCCCATGCTTCCCTCCCTGCACTGTGCTCAGAGCTGCCCAAAGCTGAAGGACAGATTTCTCCCCTCTCTTTACTGCCCACAGGCCAAACATGCTACCTGAGACCAACTCCATTTTAGAATTCATTGAGAGTCCTTCAATAAATAGATAAACCGCTACATTTTCTACTTGAGCCTCTCAGGGGTCTAAGATGTGGGAAGAAAATATTTATACTCACTGAATGGTGGTCATGTTTACCCCAACTTGGAGATGGGCTAAATGGTACCCTTGGGAGCACATGGACTGAAACTCGGAGGTCCCCTTTGATATTGGGGGCTCCAGGAACAGGACCCGAGTGCTAAGAAGTTACAGTGGATGAAAGGAAGACTGGTGCCTGCCTGCTCCCAGCAAGCAGCTGTGTCAGAGAAGTGTAGTCCCCTTGTCAGGAGAGCAGGCGGGCAAGGGACTTGCTTCTGTTTTGGCCCCTGGGGACCTGGCCACCACTCTGGAGGCACAGCCGTGAGCTGACAGTGGGGAAGTGCAGATCAACACTGTGGCTCCACCATGAATATGCAAGAGGGAATCCTGAGGTGTGGGGACATCAGGGGACAAGGGGCTGAAGGGACTGCCAGGAGGTGGGGCAGACTGCCGGCTAGGAGTCATGGCCTGACTGTCCAACTTTCCAATAATGTATTTTGTTACCTTTTAAGAAATGCACTTGCCTTGGAGCGCTCTGAGGCCAAAAGAACTAAAGGAATAAATTCTCCAGAAGCACTGGTGTGCGTGCCTGGAAACCGTCAAAGGCAGGCTCCTAGATGGATGACAAGGCCAAGGCTGCAGAGCCAGCCTCTTAGCAGGGCCACTGGGGAGGTGGTCCAGCCCAACACACTCCAGCCTGGGCCTGGCCTATCCAGGGGCCTGGACTTTCCTCTACCCTCGGGCAGCTGTGTCTTAGACATATCCTGTTTCCAGGTATTTGTCAGGAGGGCTCGGTTTCTTTTTAAGATTTGCTCCCCATGGTTTGGAGCTAAATTCTAGCTGAAATGTCATCTAGAAAAGGGTGGCTGGTGCCAGGGACTGCCAAACGCAGGGCAGTCTCTCTGGGGATATGACTTCTCATAAAGGGATTTCACTCCTCAGTGCCCTGTGGTCACATCTGGGGTTCTTCCCTGCACATGTGAAAGGTCTCTGCAGCACGGAACTACCCTCAAAGCCGAAAGTCCTCCTGCCCCACCACCTCCGACATTCAACCTTACCCACCTTCAAAGCTGAAATGGTCTGCAGGAGACCAGGGTGTAGAGGGAGGCGGGCAGGGACCAGGGACTGGACAACCTGAAACTCATCAATCTGGGCCCCCATCTCTCCCAAATTTGCAATGAAGGGCAAGGAGGCAAAGAAGAAAGGGGACACTGGACAAAGATTGGGAGTCACAAGCTGGTGGCCAGTGGCCTAGAGACTTTTTTTTTTTTTTGGCTGACAGAGCATTTTATTTTATTAGCTGAGCCATCCTGCTGCCTATTGGCAGCTCACTGGCAGCTCAGCTCAGGCCGGGAATCGAACTGCTGTTGCTGTTGAGCAAGCTCTTAACCAACTGAGCCACTCGGCGGGCCCCTGACAGAGCATTTTAAAAGCTCGCATTTGAATGCTATAGGAGGGGGCAAGCGCTCTTTGGATCTCGGGTCCCATCACCCATACTGCCTTGTGCCCTGCCTGAATGGCTATGTTACTTCACCTGCCTGGCCTGGGAAGTAGTTAGTTCAGGGCTTTTGAGATTGTGATCTGTGTGTCCCAGGCCTGTGGGTACCCCATTGACCCGATGGCCCTACTCAGGGACTCCTACATATTGTCACAACCAGACTTGAAGTCTGATCCACAGCAGAAAGGATAAAGAAAAGAGTGAGGGGACATCTCATGACACTGGAGCCCTAGACCCTGGGAGTCAGAGCCGGGTCCACATCCAAGCCCCGTCAGGGCTGGTGACGTGGTATTAGACAAGCTCCAATCCCCCTGAGCTCCAGGGCACAACAGGAAAGTAGTCGGGGTAAGTCAGAAGCGTTGGTGTAAAACTGGGCAGACTTTGCAGGTTTCCGTGTTAATAAGAATCAAGTTGGACCAGCAAAGCCACCGACCCCCAGGCTCTCCGTCAGGCCAGCCTCTGACTTCATCTTCTTTCTTTCCTCATTGTGGGTCTGGGGCAGTTTCTAGGTTGAAAGGTGTCTCTAAGTCATACTCTCCCATTAGAGGGGCATGGTTCTGTGGAGAGAATGGGGTCTGGAGATCTAAGAATTCACTTCATCTCTATCTTGCTCTGTGAGCCCCAAATCTCTATTTTCCCCATCTGTAAAATGGGCATTGTGATTGCCCCAGGGGATGGTTAAGGGTTGCAAAGCACCATACGAACATCAGTTATGAAAGATCTAACCCTAACTAAGGCGCCTTGGAAAAAAGATATTGGGTTTGATATGTCATCAATTTTTTTCTAGATTGGAGCTAGATTAATGGTATGAAAATTTTTCATAAAATCCACCATGTCCTTTTTAAAATGTCAGAGCTAGAACCTGGGGCTGAAGGCCTACGGAGAAACACCCCAGGCCTCCTGCCACGATGCTGGTGAAGGTCCTGGCCTTGTGTTTTCTACTCAGAATTCTCTGGCATCAACAGCTTGTGTGCTTTGGAAGCCTCCCCTCCAAGATCCCAGGCAGCTCCACTGGGCAGCGTGGAAACTCAGTGGGTGAGAACAGGGATGAGTGTGAGAACATGTGTGTGCATCGTGTGCTCTTGTGCTTCTGCCTGGCAGCCCAGTCATCAAGTGGCTGTCTAGTAAGTTCAAATGCAATCTGAGGACCAGCAGAGCCTCAGGGGAGGGAGGAAAGGCATGGCGGGAGCTCATCACGGGGCTGAGGAGGAAGAGCATGGGGAGAGGGACACGCATGGGGCCATGTGGGATTTACCGAGGAAGGTGTGTACCTTAGGGAGCTGGATCAGGCCCTCCACTGCTGAGCAGGGAGGAAGGAAGGAGGCAGCTGTTAGGTGACCCTGCAGGTGACCTTGCTTTACCAAGGCCACCAAGGCTCAGAGAAGTGAAGGGTCTTGTCTGAGGTCCCACAGCAATGCAGAGGGGTAGCCAGGACAAGACCTCTCAAGGCCAATAACCTCAAGTGCAGGCTCTTTCTGCCCCAGCTCTCTGCCAACTTGGTGACATGCAGACATCAAGGATACTATCACATGAGATGGCAGAGTCCATTGTCATTGCTATAATTTCGCCCAGATTTGGACAGAGCCTCTACCTCGCTATTCTGAGTTGGCAAGAGAGACTATGCAAAGAATGAGGCCCCAGGCAAAGAGATGGTGGCCTCTGGCATCCCTTCTCAAGATCACTCCCCATTCACCACCAGTTCCTCACTGCTTGTCCTGTCCCTCTCCCAGGAGGCCTTCCTCTGTCCTCCAAATCCTCCCAGGTGGCTTTTCCCGACCACTCCAACTCCCTTTCCCAATTCCCATGGCCCTTGTCCATGGCCCTGACCATTGCGGCCCCTCGTATCAACAGGCAAATACCCACTATGAGAAGTTAGGCATCTTCCCCGACCCAAGCACCTTCATTCCCAGCTGCATGCTAGGCTCCACAAGGACAGGGAAGGGCTGATCAGCAAGTTCTGGCTGACTGCTGCAGATGTGTGTGGTCCTCAGTGCAAAGTCCTTTTTGTTAATTACTGTCTACATGGCGGGGACAGACTTGCCCAGAATCCACTCACTGAGGTCCTGGAGTTGGGGATAGTGTCCATGGTGAGTGTCCAAAGTGATCAGAGCCTTGGGATCGTCTCAGGAAACACATCCCAGTTAGATCAGTGGTTCCAGGGGCTGGGGGCGTCAGGTACTGGCTAGGACCATGATCTCCTGGGTCCCATCCATCCCTAATGTTCAAAGTTCACAATGCAATCAGCACCTCAGACAACATCTTACTTTAGAACAGTAGCTGAAGGATCTCCCAGACGGTTCTTCGAGTCTTTTGATATGTATAGAAAAGAGCTGTTCAAACTGCATTGGGCTCAGGGAAATGGGGGCAGGAAGCCAGGGTGTCTCCCCAAAGTGTGTTTCTCTTGGGAAGGGGTCTCGGGGGGGGGGGACGAGTGGAGCATAACCAGCCCAGTGAGACTCCTAGTCAAGATATTAAAGAAATAGCGATGAGCAGGAGGCTGGGCCCCCAAGGTGGGCGCCCTCAGTCTCACAGACAGCTCCAAGCCCACTCTATGGGGGCACCCAGGACAGAGGGGATGCTCTGCACACAGGTGTAAGACAACCTGTGACACATTGGGTGTGTTGAATGCATAACGGGTGGACAGTCTGATCAGCTGGACCCTGGGTCCCACAAAAAAGCAAAAAGGTATTTACACAGGTGCTGTTGTAATGACAATAGCAAGCTCTCCTTCCCAGGCCTGAGGCAGGAAGACGGGCAGATGGTCAGACAGCTGGGGGGACTGGCAGGCTGAGCTGGGGCTGCAGTTGTCTGCAGAACAGTTTATTGGTTTGTGGAGACCCCATCACTGTTGGGAGAAGCTCATCAATGGACTCTTGGAAATGGACAGGCGCCTAGCGGACCAGCAGCCCTACCATGGAACCCCAGAGTCCCTGGCAGGAAAAGGCGGGGGAGTGGGGTGGAGGAGTTTCAGGTGAGTGGAGGTGCGGGGGGTTGCTGGGGGTGGTCTTGTCGGGCCCCTCTGGCTATCTTTGGAGGGGATTAGGAGGCTATCACCCTCAGTGATATGTATCACAAGTGCTTGGCTTCTGCCCGGCTCCAAAGGTCAGTGACGGTCGTAGGCAGTGGCCGCTGCTGGTGGGGCAGCTCCTCGGGCAGCAGCGCTGTAATAGTACGAGGAGCCTGGAAGAGAGAGAAGAGGGCACGGAGGTTGGAGGGTGACGTTGTGCCTGCAGCCCCACACCTGAGGCCAATGTTCAGAGGCAGGAAGGGGATCGGGGCTCTGAGAAAAGAGCTCTGGGAAACACAAGATTATTCTGGCAGGGTCAGGCTTCCTGGAGGAAGTGGGTCAGGCTGGGTTTGGAGGACAGGAAGGTTTGGACGTGGGGAGACTGGAGGGTATGAGTACGTGGAGCAGGGCAGGGTGCAGCCAGCCTCCTGTGACCTCCGGATAGAGCCAGGGCGAGGGTTCCGTACCCATGCTGGGCTCCACTGCCTCTGGGCTGCTTTATTGGACTCTGCACCTTGGATGGAGCCTCCAGGAGCCCGGCTCTGGGCTCAAACGCCTCTCCATGGACGAAAGAGTATGGCGGCCGGAGGTGCTCCATGAGACCAGCAGATTCTCAGAACCACAGAAGTAAGAGTCGCTAGGCCATCTCCTCCTTTTACAGGTGGGAAAACTGAGGTTCAACAAACCAAAGTCATGTGCTCAAAGCCATAGAGCCTCTTAGTGCTAGAGCCTGGCCTGGAATTCAGGGTGTCTGTCCCTGGCTCAGGACTCTTTCCACCACTGAGCAGTTCATGGCCTGTACACCCAAGGCTGGGGGGTTGTGTTTATCCAAGGGGACAGCAGTTGGGGCCATGTGAACCACTGTAGACCATGTGTCTGCTGGGGTGGGAATAGCAAGCTTCTGAATTCTCCAGGGGAGGCCACTTATATTGATCCTGAAATGTCATCCAAATCCAAACCAATACTGGCATGTATTCCAGATACCATAACTGGACACCAAGGCCTGGGGTTGCCAGTCAGGCTCTGTCACTCTTGGCTGAGTGACCTTGAACAAGTAGCTTCACTCCCCTAAACCTCAGATTTCTCATCTGTAAAAGAGGGGTCACAGGAGGGCTATATGAGGGTACCATGACATCAGGATATGAAAGTGCTTTTCTAAGCACTTTTATATCCATTAACTCTTTTAATTTCCACAACAATCCTATTGGGTAGGAACTAATATTGTCCCCTTTTAGCAAAGGAGGAAACAGAGGCACAGAGAGAGTTAGTAGCTTGCCCAAGGTCATACAGCTAGTATGTAATAAAGAGGGTAGGATTCGGGGAGGCACTTTAGCATGTGCCACCACCTCTCCAAACCCAGCCCCCATTGGCAGATACTCCCTCCCCCTGCCCCTCAGGAAGGCATGTGGCTCGGCAGCAGTGACAGTTGAGGAGCGGCCAGTGCCTTGCTGTGCTGTTCCAAAGGCATGGACACTAATCCCATGCCTAAGTGTTCCCAGAGATGGGTTTTTCTGCTGCCTCTTTTGTCAGAGCCCTGATTCAGAGATACCTGTCAGCTTCCTGGGCTCTTCTCTCTTCTGTGGGATCAGTTACCCACAAAGCACCTGTAGTGTCAGCCCTATGTCCTGCCTTCAGATGGGCCCAGGTAAGAGGTATGTGTGCGTGTTGTGTGTGTGTGCATGCGTGCACGTGTGTGTATGTGTGTGTGTGCACGTGCACGTGTGTGTGTGTGTGTGCGTGTGTGTGTGTGGTCCCTGCAGGCCTGGGCATGGCACAGGAACAGAAAAACCACAAGGGCTGCTCCCATAAATGGACTTCGAGGGACCAGAAATGGAAACAAGCCTCTTGGGAGGACCTTGACTGGGCCCTCTGAGCCCCGCATTGACCACCTCTCACCCGTGGCTCTGACTCACTCCCTTCTCAAAGCCTAATCTCTTGGCCAGCTGTCCATCGGCCTCAGCATGAGGGCTCCAGGGCAAAATAAAAAAAACTTGCATTTACCGTGAGAAATGAAAACATCATCTCATAAAGCACTCTGTCTTCCTGGTGCCCATTAGACCTCCATCTAGAATAAACTTGTCCTTCTGTCATTTTTCCTCTCTAATTCACATTATTATCAATTTACTTCTTGACACAGCCGTTTGGAGCTCCCACATGCTCTCTAATCCCTTTACAGAGGCCACGGGCATTCCCATTCTAATCCTAATTGACCGCTGCTGCTTTTCTTCCAGTCTTCTGCCCTGCCTGCCCCACCAGCCGCCCTTCCCCACCCCCTCCTGCCGCAAAGGATGCAGGGTCACCACCGCCCTGGCTGGGCAGGCAGCTCTGGGGGAGGGGGTTTAGTAGGGGGGGAAGTTCTCCAGAGAAGTGAGCAAGCAGCTCCATTAGGTGACATTGCCCATCCTTCGGCATTGTTTCCATAAAGGAGGCTTCAGCCAGGCCAGCTGAGAAGTGAGCAGCGTGTATGAGGGCTTGAGCACCTGGGAGTGTGTGTGTGGAGGGTCTCACCTGTTTCCACAGCTCCCACTGATCTAGCAGGAGCATCAAGGAGCCTCGGAGGAGCAGGCTTCCACACCCTGGGACCCTCCCCAGACAGCAGAAATCGGTCTACTTCCCCATTCCAGCTAAAGCTCCGAAGACACTCTGCAGGAAGGGCAGGTTGGTAGTTGTGAATGGGCCTGGAACTTAGCTGTCAGACGATGACAGAATGAGCCTGGTATCTCATCTTCAAGAAAGTGGGCTTTAAGAGAGCATTGTGTTCAGCGCCTGCTTGAAAGAAGCTGCCGGTGGCCATTATCCTCATTTTATACCTGAGGCAACTGAGGCCCAGACTGGTGGACGACCTGGCCATGATTCCCCAGGTTATAGACTTGGGCAGTGCAGGGGCCATTTCTCATGTTCGTAACTGCCCAGCATTGTTTAAACTCTTCCTGTGTTTCCTGTGATATGAGGCCTGCCTCTCTGAGCTAGGAGTCAGAACTCATTCTCCCAGCTTCCTTTGCTGCTAGGGCACAGGTGTGAGCTCTGCCAATTAGACTCTCTTGCATATAATCTCAGTTGGAGGGAGCAACTTGAAGAGGTGGGCTGAGAGGCTCCATCTGTTGGGAGGGGTTGCAGAGGCACCCAGCTCCGTGCAGGGCAGAGCTCTCAAGCACCCTGGCTGAAGCAGCAGCATGGAGCGGGCTGCTTAGGGGTGCCAACTGGCAACAGCAGGAATGTTTATGCTACAGCAGCCCTGGGGGTGTGGCTGGGTGTTGTTCCTGGCTGTGTGTCCCATGCCTGTCTCTTTGGTCCTTTCAGAGATTCAGAGAGCCCCCCAAATCCCTTAATAAATTTGTTTTCTGCTTAAACCAGCCAGAGCGGATTTTGTTGTTTGCCACTGAAAGTCTGACAGATAAATACAGTAACCTGGATTTCAAAATTAGACCAGAGCTGTGCTAATCACATACATGGTCTGAGTATTTAGAACTCTCCAGGCTTGTTCCTGTAGAAGTATGAGGCCTCTTTTACTGTTCAGACTGAATCGGTCAGGGAGAGTAAGAGTACCACATCACATACTGGTTACGGATATAGGCTCTGGAGTCAAAGTGACCTGAATTTGGGTCCTTATTCTGCCATCTGCATGCTGTGTGACCTCAGGTAAGTTAACTAACCTTTCTGAGTCTCACTTTTTTCATCTGTATTATAGCGATAATAATATGTTGCCCCCTAGGGCTGTTGAAAGTATAAAATGAGCTAACACACATGAAGGGTTTTGCCCAGTCCCTGCACAATTAGCAAGTGCTCATTTAGATGAACAGAGCTTTGCTTCTTCTTCCTCCTCTCCACACCGGCTCTGGGCCAACCCCCTCAATGCACTGGGCACCTCCTAGCACAGACACATCTGCCCAAGGCTCCTTTACCTCCAGCCTGTGAGCTTCCTGGAACAGAGTCCACTTCATCTCCACTCCCGGCATGCAGCCCATGCCTAATAATTGGGGATGTGAACTGGATCTCACTCCAGCTTGAGCAGAAAAGGCCTCAGAAGCAGTCTAGTCCCACCCTTTCCTCACCATCTCCTTGGGCTTCTAGCTGCCCACACAATCAGTCCAGGCTTCTCAGTCTGGCATTCAAGGTCCCCTATCTGTGGCCTCACAGACCACCCACCTTCTACTCTACCCCTTTGCCACATCTTCCTGAGCAGCTCCTTCCACACTTCTCTGCCTCATGAACTCCCCGGCAAACGAGCTTATGGGACACCTTGTGAGAATTAGAAAAAAGCGTTCACTCTGGGCACCTGTAGCCCTGTGCCAGAGTTTGGGGCTTTTGCCATGCATGGGCTGGACTTCAGCCCCCACTTGTCCCTTCAGGCAGTGCACAGCCATCCATGGAGGTCCTGAGTCAAGATGGCCTCATTGGGGTCATATCCTCATAGCTAGGAAACCCTCCCACAGTCTGGCCCAGCCTCCTTTGTGCCATAGCCCCTGTGGGTCTTACAGCAGCGCTGGGACCAAGGCTGTGTCTGAAGCAGATTTGCAGGGAGGGGCTCCCAGGCTCAGGCCTCCAGACTCATTCCCATCCTCAACCCCTGCTGAAAGACACTGCTTCAGGGGGACCTTGGCCAGCCTTTGTCTCCTGAGAGCTCAGGGCCTCTGCTTGGGGTGGGGGTGTTAAGGAAAAGTACTAGGTAAGTGGAGACCAGGCTTAATGCTTAGAAATAATTTTTACTAAAGCCCAAAAGGAAGTCTGATAGATCAGTCTACGGATTCAGCCCCTCCGGGAGGCCACCAATAATAAAAGCCTAGTCATCTATGAAACTGGAGAACTCCAGGCACAGGGACCTGGAGCACTCATTGGCATTGTTCCTTATTTCACCTGCAGTGGTACATGATACACCAAAATGGTTTGAGCAGCCCAAGGCCCAAGTGCACGGAAGGGTGGTAGCCAGGAGGGGGCCTGTGTGTCCTAATCACCAAAGCAGGTTTGGGAAGGGGCCAAGGCTGTAACTTCCTGGCCTCCTTCGTAGATCCATGGACTGGCAACTTGAATTTGAAGACACACATTCTTGCTTTTCTGATGAAGTTTATGGCTCTCTGTCCTAATCTCAGTTCCCTAATCCAGGGAATGAACAGGTTCTTACTTAAGCAGGCTTTGTTAAACTGGACAGACACACCTGGATAGTCTCAGAGGCCCTTCCATGTCTGGCCTTTGAGGGAATTCTCCAACGGACTGCTGAGGGAGAGGTCAGTGTTCTGCCTGCAGGCTGATTGGCTGGCTCCGCCCCCAGGCGGTGAGTGATAATCTGTGAGCCCCGGCTCCTTCTTCAAGCCCCAGAACCTTCAGCTCCATCTGGCACCTTAGTTCCCTGTAAGTTCATTTCAACAAAACAAAAGGCTTCCCTTGGCCTCTGAGGGCTGAATTAGCCCTGCCTGGTCTTCTAGATGGCCCAAATATCTAGACGGTGTTCACAGATCAGGCTGGCCCCAGCCATGGACAATCTGCCAGTCTAAGGCTTGGGCAGAGGTTGGGCGCCAGCTGATCTCTGAATGGCATACCTTGGCAGGTCTTCAGCCACAGGGCAACCAGCTTCCAGTACCTGCTGGCTATGGTGATGTCCATGGCAGACATCACGTATCAATCACTGAGCCTCAGAGTCCTTATCAAGACCAATAGCCACTACCCATCTATCTGAGTTGGCCTTGTGGCTGTCTCTTATTTAGAGATTTCTCATCTGAATATTCAATGATTCTTGAGAAATGTAAGTTATTCTTGGGCAGGCACTTTCTCTACCGTCCTCTTTCTGCCTCAATGCTCTTTTTGTCTTTGTTCCGCTTTTGTGCCATTTCCCTGTATCCACCAAAATATGTGGGGAAGGGAGCAGGGCCTAAGCAGGCCTGGAGCTTGGCATGTGTCTGGGGCCAGCTACCCAGTCCACCTCAGTGACCAAGGCTCAGGATGTTGAGGGAACCTGGCCCACCGAGGGGGCCCAATGGGCCAGCTGATGGCCCAAGGGACCCACAGGGCCTCCACCAGTACTCACCAAGCAGCCCCGGGTTGGGGAACCTCCAGGAGTCGTTGTAGGAAGGATATTGAGGGTGGCTGTAGGGGCTCCCGGAAAACTCACTCCCTGTATATGGTGGGTGGGAGAGAAACAGGAACCAAATGTTAAAGCAGGCTTGGAAAATGCCAATGGCATTTCATAACCAATAAAGGCAAGTCCAGTCCACACCCTTATTAAGTGGACAGCTGTCATTGGCATTGTCTAGATTTCCCCTTAAAACCTTTTTCTTATTAGTAGGAGTGAATACCAGCTTCTCATATGTGTGCCATGAAACTACCATGTGCCAAGTGTTCCATGGGGTTATTGGCCCATTTTGCAGGTGAGGAGACTGATGCCAAGGGTGTCTCACAAAATGGCCTTGATACACCCACCCAAGTCCAAAGCCTCAGACTACCTGGTTCTCAGCCCTGACTGAGGCCACTCTAGGACCCCAGTGAGATTTAGGTCCACTTCCCATGTGTTTTTGAGTGATTCTGGACTGAAAAGCCAAAGGTGACCTCAACTCTAGTCTGGCCCTCTGTGCTGAGAATCCAGAGGTAGTTGTTCCCAGGGCCTCAGCCAATGGGGAAGATGAGACAGTCAGGCCCTCTGCCAGGAGGAGGCAGATGGCACTCTGCTGAGATGAAGGGACAAGCCAAAGGTCTAGGGGAGCACAGAAGAGGGTGTGGATGGGGCCTTCTGGGCTCTGGGCTTGCTGGCAGGAGCTGCAGCTGCGCCTGGGTAGGGACAACACTGGGTGTGTGAGGAGGCATGGTGGGACTGGAAGATTGTCATCTTGCCCAGCTGCTCGTGGAACAGTGATGCTTGTGTTTGGCACTTCCCTGTGCTCTCGCTTCCAGCCCCAGGGGAGCCTCTTTACCACCATCCAGTCACTAGGAGGGGAGTTCAAAATTCCCTCCCTTACAGCCTTGCTGCCTATCTCCTCCCTGTGGCTGGGGACTCACAGGGGACAGGGTTTAGGCCTGACTCATCTCAGAGTCTCCCAGTGCCTGGCATAGTTTGTACTGGCAGCTGGCTGCTGAGTGGCTTTTAAAGCCACTGGTTACAGAGCACATGGGCCCCTCCCTGGCAGTGGTGGCGGGAGTTACACAGCCCCTGGGACCACCCTCGGCTCAAGTAAGCTTCCATAGATTCTTCTTAAAGATGCCAAAGGGCCAAAAGGAAGGAGCCCCAGAAGGGACCAGCCAGATATCAGGATGGGAGCACTGCTATTCCCCTGGAAGTCTAAGCCCAAATGCAGGGCCCACAGGGCTAGGTCAGGTGTATCCAGAACAATAAAACAGGCCTGAGGGGTCAGCTGCTCCCACTCCCTGGGCCCGTTGGCCTCCTCTCCACCTCCCCGCTTCTGCAGGCAACCACAGGCAGGGCGCGTGCGCGAGCGCACACACACACTCCTCCCCAGGCCTCTCTGGGGGCCACTCCTAGCCTGACAGGCTGAGCCTTCCAATTCTCTGTTTTTTATGCCTCAGTGGTCAGGGTGTCAGGTTCTGGCGTATGGAGGGAGAGCATGGTGACAGTGCTGGGCTGCAGCAACCCAGCCCCGGCATATCCATCAGTGCTACCGCGCCTCCTCCTTGGGGGCAGGGTGGGAGAGCAGAGATACTGAGCAGCCTGGAGAAGGGGAACAACCTGCCCTCTCATCCAGGCTCTGGGCACCCGTGAAGCTGCCCCATTAGAGGCACTTCCTGACAGCTGTGTGCCTGGGCCCAGGGCATCAGGCTACACTGGCAAAGACCATTCCTCCATCTTCATCTAGCAGACTATGCCTGTCCACTAGGCCCAGCTCCAAGACCTCCTCTTCTAAGAAGCCTCCCTGACCTCTAGGCCTCAACAGTGCAAGCCTCAAGTCCATTCCACTGAAGTTAATTAGTGAATTGTGTCCATGTTCTCCATCCCACATCCCCCACCGCATCCAAAATTGGCAAAGGACCTTAAACAGCTCCAACTCCTTTCGCATATGTACCTAAGTCAGTGTTGCCCACCTGCCTGGTCTTCTGGAACCCCACTCAGATACCTCTTCTTCTCAGAAGCCCCCTGCCCCTCCTCAGGTGCACTCAGTCTTCCGCAGCATCCCACAGCATTGGCGTCGCCCCGACCTGCACGGGAGCCTCCTGTGACTTGGGAGTCTGCCCTGCAGGTTCATGTCTGACTCCTCTCTGCACCTGTGTGCCACCTGCCCCCAGCGTAATGCCCTATCTACAGCAGTCAGTGCTCGGTGAAGCCCCGGTAGCTTGCCTGCCTCCATCTCTAACGCAGAGCTCTTGCACAGTTGCCCGCATGGCCATCTCTCTCACCTCCTGGTCTTTGGACCATTGCTTTTAAAATGGAAACTCCTTCCAACCCACTCCTCTTTCCTGCTTTATTTTTCTTCATAGAACTGATCACAGTCCAACATCTTATTTACGGTGCTTATCTTGTGAATTCTGCCCCCTCCACAAGCATATAAGCTCCTCAGTGGAAGAAATAACCCCCCAGGAACCCACCCTACCTGATGTACTAACAGTGGTGGTATGGTGTGCACACTCAGAGCAGAGCCCTGTCCTGTGAGGTGCTCTGTCTGAGTGTGCACTCTGGGGAAGGGGAGCCTGACCATCCTCAGGGCATGAGGTTGACCTCAGGCCTGGTCCAGCCACCTGCTGGGGACTCTGGGATGGGTATCTGAAGTGCCACACAGGAAGATGACTGAATGTAGGGAGCACTTACCCCATGAGATATGGGGAGTCCAGGACCTTGATCGCCAAGAAAACTACCTATCTACAGACCAGGACTGCCTTGGCCACAAAAATGACTGGAAAGCAGCAGATGGCCCAAGTTTAAGCCCACATGCTACTGCTGAACCCCGTGGTCCTCAGTCAGTTTGGCGCAGAGGCAGGGAGCAAGGGCCCTGGAGCCAGACTGCCTGGGCTCCAATCCTGGCTCTGCCTCTTCCTAGTTCTGCAACCTTCAGGGGGTCACTCAACCTCTCTGTGCCTCAATTTCCTTTTCAGTCAAGTTAGAGCAATTAATAGATCTCACCACATAGGGTCATTGTAAAGACTGAATGAATGATACACTGAGTGCCTGGCACACAGTGAATGCTCAGCAAATGTCAGCTATAATGACAATGACTCAGTAATGGTCATCAAGACCTCCTTGGCATGCAGAATCTCATTTAACCCTCCCAACAATCCCGCGAAGCTCACAAGATGGGTACAACTGTCTGCATTTTATATGTAAGGAAATGGAGCTCCAGGCAGGTGGGGGGGGACTTGCCCAGGCCAGGAGGTGATTTCAAGGCCAGATTCCTGTCCTCCAGCCCAAGGTCCTTTGCCTATGACTGCCTTCCCACTCTGGGCCTCTGCCTCCCATTTGTACAGTCCAAGTGCTACCTAAAGGCCCTTCTTGTCTGCTGAGCCTGATTTTCACCTCCCAGGGGCCTCGCAGGGAGGAAGGCCCCTCCTTGAGGGTTCTTTGGGCCTCACTGGATGCTGGTGTTTGTGGGTCTGGAGGCTGCATTCTGCTGCTTCGTTTCCGCTGCTGACTTCACCACCGTCGTGACACCCAAGGCACATTCACCTTTTTTCCTTCAAACCCCATGACAGCAGCTTAGAAAAGTGAGTCTTGTCCAACCAAGAGAAGGTCTGGAGAAAGCACTGAGGACTCTTTCTGGGGTAAGAGGAGCATGTGAGCTAGGATTGATAGGACTTTCATAAGCAGAGGGAGGCAAGGCACCCCAGGCACAAACAAAAGTCTGGGGGTGGACTGGTCAGAGCGTGACCCCCACATGGCCATGTCTTCGTGAGGCCCCAGCAGAGGCAAGCCACCGAGCAGAGTGGGGTGGGGTGGGAACGTTCTGCTTTCCTCTCATTAGGGCTGGGATGGCCTTCGGACCAGGGAGGGCCAGAATCTGGAGGACAGGCCGGAGGAGGCGAGCCTGCAGTCGGGGAGGGAGGCCAGGTGGCTGCTGCCGCAGTCCAAGTAAGAGGGAACCAGAGCCCGGGAAACAATATAACTACAACATCCAATGATGCTCCTTGAGTACAGGAATGACATTCTCAAGGTAGAAAATGAAAGTCCCCACTTCTGACTCATTGTCAGGGCCCCCAGGGATGCGGCCAGCTGGCCAAAGACAAAGATCACACAACAAACACCTTCTCGTGTGACTGCCCAGAAAAGAACACCATGGGCCACTCTACTCTTTCCAGTAAGTCATCTGTTTTGAGGACTATAACTCCCCTTCCCCCAACTTCCATATATTCAATAAAGCCTACTACACACTTGAATAACTTATACCACTGGGTTGGTGTTTTCTCCCCCTATGGAAACTGAAGGCAGTGGCTGAGTGCCATGTTTGGGTAGTCAGCGGGGCTGAGATCACACAATGTGGTCCAGACCACACAGCCCAAGAATTCAGTGATGTCAGGCAGCCTGAGCCCGAGGTGAGCGTGTGAAAGAGAGCCTCTCTTGGAAACATCGCACAAGTCTTGGGGAGGACACGGGTCTCTTTCACAGGGTGAGGAATGTGGGTCTGAGTCAAGTTTATCTTGATGTCAAGGTACCTGGAGAAGCTAGCCAGCCATTGTTTGTATTCTTTGCGCTGGGTCAAGGAGTGGAGAGGCCAGAGGGGGCAACTGCATGAGCAAAAGCAGGGAGGTGGGACCAGGCAGATGGTACACGATAAGACTCGGGGATACTCGGGACTGACTCTCCCCTCTTTAGCAGCCATCAACAGAACCAAGAACAGAGGTCTGGTCCCCTTTCAGGCTCATGGCCGGGGTCACACCCACGGGTGTGTTCTACCTCCCACTCCTGCCCACAGCCGACTACCCTGGAGGAGATGACAGAAAATGGCTCCAGGCCAGGTTCTGCCACTTACAGTCTAGGTGGCCTTGGGCCTGTGAATTTACCTTTTGAGCCTCAGTTTCCTCATCTGTAAAAGGGAGGGGAGGAAATTCCCTACTTTTTAAGCTGGTGGAGAAGATCGAATGACTTCACAGTTACAAAAGATCTTTGCACATCCCTGGGTGTGAGGATTTGGTGCCTTCCCTTTATTGCTAGTAGAGAAAACCAACTCAGCCATTCCTGCC